CCCCCCCACCTAAGTCATTCACCTCCCCACCTCTTTCCTGTTCTTCCTCATCCAGAGGATGGCTTTCTTTGGTTTTGATACAACCCTACCCAGGGACCGTAATGGTCCAGGGGCAAGAGGGTTCTTCGAAAACCCAGATCCCTTTGCCGATATTGCTCGAGCTAATGCGCTGGGAGATGACGACGTGTGAGCTTCACTTTTTTTAGTAGCTTGGAATGGGCCATTATGCTCATCATAATTTAGGATTGATTTCGAGGATACCTACGATGGTCTTGGAGACCAGCTCCCCGACGACCAAGACGAGTTCAACGATGACACGTTTGGCACATCCAGCGCCGATAAATCCGTTGGCAGAGACTTCGACTTCTTTGGGAAAACCGCGCAGGTTTCCGACGCCATTGGCGAGGAGCAGGTTCGCTTTAGCCTACAAAATCCCAATGCAGGCCGAGTCGCTCCCCAGCCCGCCCAAGTTCCTGTTCAGCCGACCGCCCCCCAGACCACCAAGCGCTCAGGCTATGAGAAGTACTCGGATCCCGGCTATATTCCAGACCTGCAAGCCAAATCTAGTGTTTGGGGTGTCTCGCAGAAGAAACCCGAACCCGCCTCTGCTGTCGCTGCCGCTGCCCCCAGCCGGAAGATGATGAGCTTGGAAGAGGTTGAGGCACAGATGCGTTATCATGGTCATAATACCGCGACTCCAGCCGCAGAAGCCTTTTTGCGATCCATGGTGGAGCAGCCTCAATTCCCATCTCAGCTCCAGCACCTCCAGACGCTTCCTGATGGGTTCCCTCTGGTGCCTCCAGAGTTCATCCAGGCGCAGATGAAACAGGGCCACCTCCCCCCGCAAATGCCACACCCACCTCCTGGTATGCCAGAGCTCTATGGCGGCCCCGGACATATGCCACCTAGTGGGCCGTTGCATATGATGCAGAATACCAACCTCCCCCCGCAAAACCTGCCGCCTCCTGGCCCGCGCCATGGTCCACACCAGGCCCAGCGCCCCCAGCGCCCTCAGCAACCCCAGCAGCCTCAGCAACCTCTTCAACACCAGCAAGTGCTGCCACCTACCCGAAGCTCCAACAATGGAATGCCGGTGATCACCAACCCGCAGCAACTCATGCATCTCACAGAAGAGCAGCGTAACACTTATTTGGTAGAGGATGCTAAGCGGGCAAAGCGCAACCACAAGATCTTCCTCCTCTCTCGAGGCAATGGCCTGATGACACCTCAGGACAAGAATTTCATCACCCGTATCCAGTTGCAACAGCTGGTCGCGGCTGCTGGAAATATCGCAGATGCGGATCCCGAGGCCGTGCTGGCGGAAGACTTCTACTATCAGGTTTATAGCCAGATTCGTGGCGCACCGCGCCAGCACCCCCACCAGCCCCTTGGCCACTTTGCCCAGACTTATCTGCTCCAGACTGGTAACCGGCTCGGCGGGCATCGTCGGGGAAACTTCCAGAGTGCGGATAACCACATGCAGCGAATGCAGCAGCAGGTCCAGCGTGCTGTCGAGGCAGCAAAGGCCAAGCCTAAGAATAAGCAGCTCATCATTGAGGGAAGTTTGGGCAAGATCTCATTTAGCAATGCCAAGGCCCCCAAACCGATGTTGAATATTAAGCGCCCTGATAGCTCAGAGGGACCTAAGCCCAAAAAGCAGTCGGATCTGAGTCTCAGTGACCGCAAATCGATTCTTACGAATCTCGAAGGTGTTTACAGTGCATTGATGGCAATGGAAGATATGGAGCGCACGATGCCACCACCCCCCGAGGAAGGCGACGCCGAGGCAATCCAAGAACACATGGAATGGAGACAAAAACTTCACTCGCTCAACCAGAAGTTGTGGAGGTCATTGAAGGTGATGGAACCAATTGTGCCCAACTCGACTACGCCACACCCCTTCATCGCATTCTTGTCATACCCTAAGGGCAAGAAGGCCATTCCTCGCATCTTCCGTCACATTGACCAGGAACAGCGTGTCACTATCCTCACCATGATTGTCGTCCATCTAGATAGCCTTGATGTGGTCCGTCTTGCTCAGCCCGTGCCAGGCGAGGCCCAGCCATCGCTCGGTGTGCGTGAAGCCATTGACCTGTTCTCACTAGCCGTCATGCCCTGCCTTTTGGGATACGTGAACGAGGCCCCATTCAACATCATTATTGGTCTTTTGGGATTGGTTATCAACCAAACCCATGTGCAGACAGTGGCTCGCACTAAGGTTGGATTGGGCATTTTGACTATGCTGCTCAGTCGTGCCGAGATCGTTAAGGAGGCTGGTCAGGCTTCCGAGCACGATTGGCAACAGTGGGTTGAGAAGTTCAACGTGCTATTCGATACTTTGGAACTCGGATTGAATGAGATTTTCCCCGGATCGATCAGCTCCGGCGACGATATGTATGTGTGGCAGTTCCTTGCTGCCGTGGGCATTGGCGCCAGCCCTGAGCAGCAGCAGCGCCTAGTTATTGCCGTTAAGTAAGTCTTCCATTTCGATCTAGTATAGAGAAACAGTGCTAATCCATTTTTTTCCCTACAGGGACCGTGTCATGGAAACTGTGGGTTACAGCAAGACCCTTCCTGCCGACATGGGCAGTCAACGCCTGAACAATGTCAACCTTTTCATGCGGGCCATTGGTCTGGATGTTGAGCTCCTTGGTTAAAGAAAAGGAAATAGTCAACAGTTATTTTCTGGGCTATTTTGATTTTCAGCCTTGGATATTTACATCACTTCTCGAGCTCACCCAGACCTGAATTAGCCCTAAGGCCTTGAGTAATGGTCTCATGGCGTTGCTGAATGCAACACACTTTCTACACAGGGAATCCGGGCCCTGGTTCAAATCAGGTTATATTATTGTACCTGAACCCGGTTTATTTTACTTTTTTTTCCAATTTCACATCCTTCAATGAACACAGTAAATAATTTTTTTGCCGAACATTCCCCGGGAAACGGACTCGGCCCGGTATACCCGTTGCGGCTTATTGTCTGTTCGGCACATAACCGAAGTTGTTTGAAAACGGAGTTTCAGAAGGGGGAGATTCAAGGGGCTTCTGCATTGCATCTTTGCACATCTTTACCTCTTTCGATATGACTGTTTTCGCCACGTCATAACACACTGTACTCTCCGTATGTGCATGTACATAATCTTCCGTAGTCTAATAGACTTAATTGGGGGGGAAATTCAAGGTCAAATAGATTAATATGAATTGTAAACATCTATCTATATATACATATATATCAATATAAAGAATATCTACCAACCCATACGCATCATAACATATCCACGTGTTGAGCCCTGGAAAGACACCGGGCCATTTATCCCCTCGCCCCCCCACCTCCATTTTCCCCTTAAAAGCTGCCCCTCGTCCGCTTTTTACTCCATACTCTCCGAACTCTCCGTATTCTCCCCCCTATTTTCCCTCAATTATCTCAGACGGAATATAATCATGCCTTCTGGTTCAGTTCTTGTTGCTGGGTAAGTGGTGAAATTCCCTATTTGGGATTTTATATTGGGATTACAGCTAATGCCCCGCTAGTGGCACGGGCTACATTGGCTCCTTCACCACCCTTGCCCTTCTTGAGGCTGGCTACAAGGTCGTTGTTGCCGATAACCTCTACAACTCTTCCCCCGAAGCCCTCAACCGTGTTGAGCTTATTTGCGGCAAGAAGGCCGAATTCATTCAGCTCGATGTCACAGAGGAGAACAGCTTCGACAAGGTGTTCGAGGCTCACCCCGACATTGACTCCGTTATCCACTTCGCTGCCCTGAAGGTGTGCATCTGATGAAACAAGAAAGCATAAAGCTGTATAGTATGATTCAGCAGCTAACCCAATTGTCTCAATTCAGGCTGTTGGCGAGTCCGGCGAGAAGCCCCTCGACTACTACCTTGTCAACGTCTACGGCACCATCAACCTCCTCCGCTCCATGGTTAAGCACAATGTCACCAACATTGTCTTCTCCAGCTCCGCCACCGTCTACGGCGATGCCACCCGCTTCCCCAACATGATCCCTATCCCCGAGGACTGCCCTCTCGGCCCCACCAACCCCTACGGAAACACCAAGTTCGCCGTCGAGACCGCTATCACCGACGTGATCAACGCCCAGCGCAACAACGCCATCAAGGCCGGCAATGAGGCCGAGGCCAAGAAGTGGAACGGCGCTCTGCTCCGCTACTTCAACCCCGCCGGTGCCCACCCCAGCGGTATTATGGGCGAGGACCCCCAGGGTGTCCCCTACAACCTGCTTCCTTTGCTCGCTCAGGTTGCTACCGGCAAGCGCGAGAAGTTGATGGTCTTCGGTGATGGTATGCAAACCCTTCTCCGCATCTCCTTTCCCCGTTACCAAAGCTCCCAATCTAACTCGCACCCTAGACTACGCCTCCCACGACGGTACCGCCATCCGCGATTACATTCACATCCTGGATCTTGCAGACGGCCACCTCAAGGCCCTGAACTACCTGCGCGCCAACAACCCCGGCGTGCGCGCCTGGAACTTGGGTACCGGCAAGGGCAGCACCGTCTACGAGATGATCCGCGCTTTCTCCACCGCCGTCGGAAAGGACCAGCCCTACGAGGTTGCTCCCCGCCGCGCTGGCGATGTCCTCAACCTCACTGCCAACCCCACCCGTGCTAACACCGAGCTCGGCTGGAAGGCTGAGCGTACCCTCGAGCAGGCTTGTGAGGATCTCTGGCTCTGGACTAAGAACAACCCCCAGGGTTACCGCCAGCAGCCTCCTGCTGAGCTGCTCGCTCAGCTTAAGAAGTAAATTTACTTCATTGATTTGTCAGGCGTGTCTTGTGGTTTAAAATGATCTTGCGTGTGTTGATATAGAAGACCTCGATCTTGTTGGTATACATGAAACGAATTTCCTTTTTTGTGATGCTTGGTCTATGAATGTTGAGCTTTTCTCAGCACTGTAGAGTAACAGCCCTCTTAACACGGTCTATATATATCATAACATACCATATGTACCTAAAAAAAAAAAACAGGTATACATATTCTCACTTATTTCTGGCCCTTCCGACTCCTCCTCGACCCATCAGCCTTCCCCTTCTTCGAAGACGCCTCCTCCCTCTCCTTCTTCCCCTTCTCAGCCTCGGCCTTCTGCTTCTCAACCTCAATCTCCTTCTTCTCCAAAGCCCTCATAACAGCACCCTCCTTCTCCGCCTCCTCAACCATCTTCTCACTAAACTCCCAAAGCTTCTTCCCAACCTCATCATTCCGCACATCAGTCCGCGCATAATCCATTTCCCGACACTCCTTAATCAGCCAACCACCCCCACCTCGTCCATACTGCTGCTCCATCGCCGCATACAGAATACTCTGCGCACCCTGCACAGGCGACTTGAAAAACAGCCACCAAATAGGCCAAGTGATCAGGTACACCGCAAGACCCCACAAAGACCCACCAGTCAGCCACCGCCGCATCCCCGGAGTCCGCGTCAACCCGGGATCACACACAATAACACGCGTACACGGCGGCAGACTATCAGGCCTCTCGTAAGCATTCAAATGCCGCTGGAATGAGTGTGCAAATATTGTAAGAGCAAGCTTGCTGAGCGCGTACACGCCCTTAGGCTGCGCGTACAATGCCGGAGAAGTCTTCGTCCGCTTCACCACCACCTTCTGCTTCCCGCGTGTCACGGAATCCAGTTTGCTGAAGTCACCGCCGATGTAGCTAGTGCATGTAGCGAAGATGACGCGTACGTCGCGGTGTGCGGGTTGTGCGCGTAGAGCTGGGCTGAGGATGCTGAGGAGGTGGAAGTTTGAGAGGTAGTTTGTTTGCCATTCGATGTCGATGCCCTCCACCGTTAGGGGGCGGGGTCCTGATGGTTCAGCTGTTCCACCGGCGAGGATTATGCAGTCTAGTCGGCGGGGTGGGAGGTTGTCAATCCATTTTGTTGCAAAGGTACGGATGGAGTGTAGGGAGGAGAGGTCGACTTGTTCGGCATGGATAAGATTGTTTTTTGTGCTCGTGCGCAGGTCCTCGATGTATTCGGAGAGGAAGATATCGGAGGGGGGTTGGCGGGTTAGGAGGATTACTTGGGCGCCGCGTGTTGCGAGCTCGCGGGCTACTTCTGCGCCTATCCCAGAGGTGCCACCCTGGAGTTTGGGTTTGTTAGCTTGGGCAGTGATATACTGCAGGAGGGGGCTCATACCGTAACCATTACCACTTTTGATCGCATCATTCTCTCAGAGCCGTTGCGGGCTCCTTCGAAATAGTATTTCAGTGCCATGAGGACTAGCACCCATGGGGCTATGCGGAGGATTGTCCAGGCATGCGGGATGGACGAGACGCCCTCCCGGAGAGCCTGGGAAATGATAGGGATGGGCATATTTAATTGAGATGGATGGGAAAGAGAGGGAGGATAGGGTGTTTATTTCCAAAGGGATTTCTCCAACGTACACGTATCTCCGCTTATCTCTTATCGCCACCCTCTAAATTCCGCTCCGCCCCTCCCAAACCCTCTTTCCTTTCTTTCATTCCCCTTCATAGCTCTACCATTCTCAACCATGGCCTCCGAAGATGAAGACTACTTCCTCCCACTGGAGCAAGTGCGCCCGTTCAGCTCCGGTGTCCGTCGCAAACGTGTGCAGTTCGTGCGCTCCTCAGATCTAGACACAACAGCAACTCCAACTCCCGCCTCATCCTCCGGCACCAGCATCGCGGATACATACCTCTCTATTGTGATGAAGCAAGCACCAAGTTCACCAAGTTCACCAAGTTCACCAAGTTCACCAACACAGTGTGCACCATCGCCACCAATCCGCACACAGTCCGCGCCGCCAGCTCAAGCTATAATCCCGCCTCCACCAACAGTGACAGTGCCCGCGGCCCCAGAATTCTGCGACGTGTGTAATATACCTCTTCCACCACAAGACATAGAAGATGCAACAGGCAAAAAACACCGCCCACACGAAGCATCTCTCGTGCATCAAATCTGTCTCACTCATTCACACCCGCCATCGCACCTCGACCGCACGCGCCAAGGTCTCCGATACCTCTCTACCTATGGCTGGGATCCTGATAGCAGGCTTGGTCTCGGTGCACCCGGCCGTGAGGGTATTCGTGAACCTATCAAACCTCGTGTCAAACTTGGTACTGCTGGACTGGGGACTGGGCTTGATCGAGATGGAGATCCGTTGCCACCTAGACCGGCGCCCACGAAAGTGCAGAAGCTCAATTCTAAACAGATGCGGATTAAGGTTGCGGAGGATAAGAAGAGGGCAGAGAGGATTAGGAAGGCTTTTTATCAGAATGATGATGTTTTGAAGTATCTTGGGGAGGGGGTTTAGGTGGTGGATTCGGTGGATGGATGGTGGAGGGTTTGATATGCTATTTTTTGTTTGTTTTGTGTTTGATGATACCCCTATTCGTTTTTTTATCATGTTGGTTTCATGTGGGAATCAGTTTCAAATGGAGCTGCAGTATTTGTCTTTCTTTCTTGAATGTTTACTGTGAGGTATTGCAATTTGAAACTAATGTTTAGATTCTACCTAGCATAAATTGTAGTGCAGTGAGAATATTCCCATGACTTGGGTGTTTATAGGACAGATCTTAGGAAAGAAATAAAAACCGCTGAGAATAGCGCCTTGAATGCTCGGGACCAGACCAGACCAACAGAAAGATAAGGAAAAGAATGGTATCACAAAAGCGCTGGACGGGAACAGCAGGAAATTGGAGACAAGATGAGATCAAGATGAATGAAAATGAAGAAAGTTACTTGAAGAAACGGTACTTCTTCTCCTTCTTTTCCTTTTTCTCTTTATCTTTCTTGTCGTGCTTCCCGCTGCCAGATGAGGCAGGGCTGCTCCCGCTTCCGTTTGATTTTATTGACATGCCAGCCATCAGCGCCTCTGGTGGAGCTGGAGGGTTGAGGTGTGCCGTTGAGACAGGTTTCTTCTGCGGCGGCGGATTGGGAGCTGGAGGGGCCTCACGCTCGAAGAGATGGGCTGGAGCGGTAGGTTTGGGGCGCTCGGATGGAAGGTCGAGTCGACGCCGGTCAACACCAAGGTCCCCTACTTGGCGGAGGAAGAGACCCGGAGTCAGCATGTGCGTTGTGGCAAGATAGACATCCCGGTTGTATGCTGCTGAGACTTCGTAACAGGCTCGTGACTCTCCGTAGGTGGCACCACCGGCCATGAAGACGATTATGCGCTGTCGAGGCTGGTCGACGGATCTTGTGCGCGCCCAGGTCGGTTTTGCACTGCGTAAAGAAGCTTGCTGTGACTGCATTTCTTGGGCAGCTATGGCGCCATCCGTCTCGGTGTGAGGGCGTGTGAAGGGGAAGGAAGTCGCGTCCAAGTTGCCCTGGATCTGGTCTTCGAGCATCTGCTTGATAGCTAGCTCGTACCGGCTCAGGCTGAGCTCCTCTGATTCGGGTTGTGGGTTTCGCCTGTTGAAAAGTGGTTGGGCTGGAGGCTTATCATCCTTGAGAGGCTTCTCGACACGAACTCCGAGGAGTTCGATGTTCGCAATCACCCCGCCATCTTTTGGTGGGAGTCCAGCGTGCGCCATGAGTTTGCGAATGTCACCACCTAGTAGCCCACCACGATAGATGATGTACAGAAGTATGAGTCGAAGCCGATCTGGTTGTACGACCGCGTCGTCATCGAGGAGCTGAACGAGCTGCGCTGCTAGGTTCTTTGCCTTTTTGTAGTTCTCATCCAGACCCGTGGCGAATGACTGCTCGGTGGAGCTCACTTCCAAGAGTTTGCGGGACTGAAAATAGTTCATACACTCTTGTGCCATGTTGAGGTGTAGAGTGTAGGCATCCTTGCCTTCTTGGAATTCTGTCAGTCCGCCCAACATATCCTTGATGGTGTTCACGTTAGATTTGTCGTTACTGAAATCCTAAGTTAGTGGTCTGAGTCCAGTATAGAGAAGGCCTGTTGAAACTCACTCATCTGCAAACTGAGGGTTTGCTGCTCGGAATTTGGCAAAGTCCTCGCCCAGTTTCCCAAGCACATCCTTCATATGCATATGGCGGTAGTCCACCCAGACTCGATCGTGCTCACCAATCTCCATCTCCTTGACTTCCTCATTGTTGGCGCCCTTATTTAAAACTGTTTTGTAGACAACCTTGTCTCCATCTGAGACAGGAAGAAGATCGTGGACCATGGCTTGGTATGTAAACTCGTGGATGAGGGGGGCGAACAAGTCCATAGAACGGTCTACTACGAGCAGTACGCCTCGGGGGCGATTTGTTTGAGGCGGGAAGTCACGCTGATACTGCGCGAACTGATCTAGTTCATTTTGAATGAAACGCGCCAAATGAGAACACATAACTCCGGCCTCGTGAGTCGGAGATCGAGGTCGATAGTACCGAATAACAGGGTACTCGCCTAGGGAAGCGCAAAGAGAGACCACCTTGTTTCAACGTCAGAAAGCTCAATTGGCATACTCGGAGAATATATATCACCTTCTGGGCCAATTCTTCCAAATGGCGCCGGATCAAATTGTTGCAACCCGGGTGGAAGAGTATCGGGAAGCTCCACGGATCCCGGAATGTAATCAAGCGCGATTCTCTGGGATAGAAATTGATTTTCATGATATGAAAGTCCGCAATGCGCTCGCGGGCCATTTGAGACCGGTCAATCCTAGATCGCAGCTGCGGATCGAGGGCTATAAGCTGTGTGAGCGGAATGACGTCGCGAAGGCCTCGGGTTCACCATCTCACTAACATGAAGTCCACACCAAGTGTGCCTTTCTGTATCGGCCCACCTCAAAATCTGCCATCAGACAATCCACCACGTACGATTCCGGTGACAATATGTACAACGCATCCATATCGGGATTGGTCGGTCGTCGATGTTCGAGCTGCTCGACGTCTGTGGTATGGTATTAGTGGAATTGCTCGAGTCGCAAAGCATAAGACGAGCTCACTGGAAACATTGAGATTGAGAATTTCCTCCTCCTTCACAGCACCGTTGACTAATTTCTTGCTGGTCTCATCCACCACCAAGACTTTCCACTATTAGGGGGGAGGGGCGCCGTTAATATCCGCGGGTAGAGGGGTTGATCGGAGGGGTCGGGCTCACCTCGTGGCCACCGGCATTGCGAATTGTGTTCAGTATAACTATTCCAGACAGTTCAAGGTCAGCTAGGGTTCATGTAAGAGGTCGTAGAAGGTAGTAACTCACAGTCGCGTTGGATGTTAATTATCGAGGAGCCCATGATGGTGGGCAGCCCACAACTTGGGGCTTCGGGGTGAGTGAGAGAAAAAGGAAGAAAGGAAGAAGACACAGATAGTAAAGAAGATTGGCGAGATATCACAAGCTTGGAAGACACCCTGGGAAAGAGAGGTGTTAGGTGGCCGTCTGAGGTATATGAAGGGAAGATGGTTTTCCCCACCATTGGAGCTTTAAAGTGGATCTGGTCGATAAGGGAACTTTTTGGTTTCTCTCCTATGCAGGGACTCCCATATTCTCTCCCTCTTTGTTAACTTCAACTTTCAACTGTTAGATTTTCTTTGTTCCGGTCCTCTATACGGGATTGGAACCCGTCATTCAGGAATGCAGCCATGGACTGGCGGTAGTCGTTCCCTCCGTGCTTTGCGACCCTTGACTTGTTTCGCTGTACGGCCTTTCACGACAACCTCGGTTCTTCAACGATCAAAAAAGGTCAAACCAGATGTTACAAAGGAAAGAAAAGCAGACTCAAAAAAAGGCAAAACACTCGTCGGTGGTTCCTCTTCGAGGTCCGTCCGACAGGATATTGCAGCCGCCCGAGATTTCAACGAACTGGTGGAAGCAACCCTGCGCGATGTATACGCCAAATTGAAAAAATCTGGCGAATCGCTAGAAGGATGGACCCAATTCGAGCGTCAAATCAAAAACGCCTGCAAATCAGATGACAAGAAGGCGTCTGCACAATGGGGACCCCTTCGGCAAGTCAAGGTAGCGCTGCAAAAAGCCTACCTCGCCTCCGGACTTCGGGGTCTGCGGGAGGAGGTGGAATATATGCAGTATTCGGAAAGCATCACTACCAGATTTTCCGCACCCATCCTGGAAGCACAACAACAAGTGGCCGATCTTCGATGGCCAGCTGAGTGGTATCCGCGCGCACGATCGATGCAGCGAACAATTCATCTCCACGTCGGGCCGACGAATTCCGGAAAGACCTACCATGCATTACAACGGTTGGCGAAAAGCAAAAATGGATTCTACGCAGGTCCGCTAAGATTGCTCGCGCAAGAAGTATATCATCGATTCAAGGCAGATGGGGTTCCATGCAGTCTCGTCACTGGCGACGATGTCAAATTTCCCGAGGGCGATGAAGTGGCGCGTATTACCAGCAATACCGTGGAAATGGTCAGCCTGGGGCAGGAATACGATGTTGGTGTGATTGATGAGATTCAAATGATTGCTAACTCATCAAGAGGGTGGGCATGGACTCGAGCTTTCCTTGGTGCTCAGGTAGCCGAACTGCACCTGTGCGGTGAAACCCGCTCAATACCATTGATTCGGGAGTTATGTGCACTCACGGGAGATAATTTGGAGGTCCACCGCTATGAACGCCTGAACGCCCTGGAAGTGATGCCGCACAGTTTAAAGGGTAATCTCAATAGCCTTGAAAAGGGTGACTGTGTAGTCGTTTTCTCCCGGAAAGGTATACACGCTATGAAGGCAGATATCGAGAAGACCACCGGAAGACGCGCAGCTATCGTTTACGGCGGTCTGCCAGCAGAGATTCGGACGCAACAGGCGAATCTGTTTAATGACCCAGACAATGACTATGACTTCCTCGTGGCAAGTGATGCGATTGGCATGGGTCTTAACCTGTGAGTTCTGTCCTCCCTGGTTGTATTTGCGCTTTCATACTAACCCACTACAAGGAGCTGCAAGCGTGTTATCTTTGACACCCTCGTCAAGCGTGTCCCGACTGGACTTCAACGGCTTACTGTCCCTGAGATCAAACAAATTGGTGGACGTGCTGGTCGATATCGCCCAGCTAATGCAACGGAAAGCACAAGCGAGGAGCCCAACGTGGGCCTGATCTCCTGTCTCGAAGAGGTTGACCTTCCGTATATCCAGCAGGCTTTGAAGTTGGAGCCCCCACCGCTGAGTGCGGCTGGTATCTTCCCTCCAGAATCTGTTTTCCGGAAATTCGCCGCCTACTTCCCACCAGGTGTACCTTTCGAGTATCTGATCAAGCGAGTTTTGGAAATTGCCAAGGTCAGCCCTTTGTTCTTCTTGTGTGACCCTACCAGTCAGTTGGAAAATGCCGAGATTATCGACACCGTGAAAGGACTGCCGTTTGAAGACCAGTTAAAGTTTATGGTTTCTCCAATGGA